CAGCACAATTCTTCACTGACCTTGAAAGGACAATGATCAACTTTATATGGAAAAACAAAAGACCCAGGATAGCCAAAACCACAAGATATTTTATATTGATTCCAGGGCCTTTCTGAGGACTGGGAACTGCATGCAGGTGAGCCCATCCCCAAAGACTGGCCTATTCAGAGTCTACCAGCATCCTGTTTCTACCTTCAACCACAGTAGGAGATAAGCTTGGGCCTGTTTCCAACCTGCCTTCTGGGGCCCTGCTCAGGGCCTCCTGAGGCCTGAGGCCTGCCTGCAGGGGAGCCTGTCTTCATGGGATGGCCTATCCAGAGTCTGTCAGTGTCCTGTTCCACCTCCAACCATGACAGGAGATAAGCTTGGGCCTGTTTCTGGCCTGCCTTCTGAGGCCCTGCCTGGAGCCTCCTGAGGCCTGGGGACTGTGCACAAGGTAATCTGTCCCAGTAGACCAGCCCATCCAGAGTCTGCCAGCACCCTAGTCCCAACTCAACCCACTGGGAGAGGAGAGCCATGGGAGTATTGGACCTGCTTGCACCCACCAGAAGAGAACCTTGGTCTGGTGCCCACCAGGGGAGAGAGAGACCCCAGGGGTACACACTGGAAGAAGGGATGGGTAGACAAAAGTATAAGAACACAGTCAAATTTTGCTTGAATGTTTTCTTCTAAAAGTTTTATTGTTTAACTTTTACATTTAAGTCATCCATCGCTCATTTTTATTCTGTTTTTTTCCTCTTTTAAAAATTATTCTCACATATATTACATACTGACCACAGTTTCCCCTCTTTCCACATCTCCCAGTGCCCAGCCCTAATCTCTCTTGTCACCCAGACCCTTTGTTTCCCTTCAAAAGGGGGCAGGCTTCTCAGGGATATCAACTGGATATGATATAACAAGTTATAACATGTCTAGGCATTGACCCTCACATCAAAGCTGGACTGGGCAATTTAGTAAGAGGAAAAGGGTTCCAAGAGCAGGCAAAAACTATGACTTGTTTTTAGTTAATTCTTGTGTATGATATAAGTGAGGGTTCAAGTTCATCTTTGTGCATACATACAATGAGTTCTCTCGTGGTACTCTGTGTTATTACTGAGAGAGGGTTAGCACTTCATTCAATGAGGATAGTGTGACACTGGTAACACGCTGTCTTTCCAAAGAATGTACCAATTTGTGGCTTTTGTCAATTTCTCCAAACACATTCAGTTACCAACTACCACTGAAAGCCTACTCATCGAGGTGGGAAAATCCATAGCATTGTGTTTTGAACTGTTTCATTCTGGCTCTAGCAGGATACTGAATCTGTAGATTGAAGTTTTTGTCCTGCTTGGACCTGCAGTCATTTAATCCCAAATAAACACAGAGAGGCTTATATTAATTATAAACTGGCTGATAGCTAAGGCATCTCATTGTCTAGGGTCTCTCTAATATCTATGTATCTCCACATGGTCTTGGCTTACTGGAAAATGCCCAGCGTCCTATCTTCCCAGTAGCTACATGGCATCTCTCCCTCCACTCACTCTCTGTGTTCTCCACCCAGCCTTCTCCTAGTCTGATAGCTCTGCCTATATTTTCTGCCTGGCTACATCCTGCCTGTCCATTGGCAAAAACAGCATTCAGAAGGATATCTACCTTTAGAATTTGTTTAGTTAACATCCTTAGGGCTGTCCTCCTTTTTACTCTTATGGAATAGAATATGCACAGGAAGAAAAATCAGTCTATCTACACCTGATACAATTAAGGTGGAGTTCTTGGGGGGATTTCTAGATCTCCTTAAATATTTAAATAGCTATGTACTCTTCAGCTCTTCTGTGGGTATATTTAATTTTATCTGTCACATTTAGTTTCAGGACAACCCTCAGCTTTGTTTTCTTGTAGAGATAAAAAAAATATTTAATAAAGGAGGACCCTAAGAGGGATGGATCGCCCTGGAAAGGAGAAATAGATGATATCTCCTGGGTAGACTGGGAGCCAGGGGTGGGGGACAGTAGAGGCTGGGATGGGGGATGAGAACATGAGGAATTGGGATGGTCAAGTTGGGAGAGGGACAGAGAGGGAGATCAATGAAAGAGAGATCTTGATAGAGGGAGCCATTATAGGGTTGGGAACCAGTCTGGTACTAGGGAAATTCCCAGGAATCTATAAGGATGACCCCAGCTAAGACTCCTAGCAATAGTGGAGTGCGTACCTGAACTGGCCTTCCCCTATAGTCAGACTGGTGACTACCCTAATTGTCATCATAGAGATTACATCCAGTAACTGATGGAAGCAGATGCAGAGATCCACATCTAAGCATTGGCTGAGTTCTGGGAGTCCAGTCAAAGAGGAAGGAAGGGTTATATGAGCACAGAGGTCAAGATAATGATGGAGAAATCCACAGAGACAGCTGGTCCAAGCTCCTGGGAATTTATGAACTCTAGACTGACAGCTTGGCAGCCTGCATGGAACTGAGTTAGGCCATCTGCATATAGGTAACAATTGTGTAGCTTATAGTCAGTTTGAGGGGCCCCTGACGGTGAGACTGGGATCTATCCTTGGTGCATGAGCTCAGCTTTTAGAGCCCATTCCCTATGGTGGGATGCCTTGCTCAGCCCTGATGTAGGGGAGAGGGGCTTGGTCCTGCCTCAACTTAAAGTGTCATGCTTTGTTGATTCCCCATGGGAGGTCTTACCATTTTCTGAGGAGTGGCTGAGGGGTGGATTGGGGAAGAGGCAGGGGAGAGGGGAGAGAGGAGGAGTGGGAGGGGAAACTGAGGTTGGTATGTAAAATGAATAAATAATTTAAATTAAAAATTTTTGATTTACTATACTAAAAAAAGATAAGTAAAAAATGTTTAAACTTTTGTAATCTCACATACACTAATTTAACATTTAAATTACAAAGGTGATTTGCCTTCCCTTATTTTTCTTCCTTCTCAGGAATCAAATGTGAAACTAAGAAAAAAACCAAAGAGCATATTATTTGCCTCCACAGGCACTCAGATGACATCAAGTACTGCTTCCTGAAGGCTTCAGAGGAATGTAAGGGACTGAAGCCAGATTTGTGACACTGACTCAGAGAAATGACCCTAAGCTTCCTTTCCAGGCCCAGGGCAGACGTGTCTAAGAAATAGCTAATAGAATGTATGTGCAGCTATGGGCATGCTGTTCCATGTCTTCATAACTGCCATTATTTTAACTACACATTTGGAAAGGAAGGCTCGGCGACATCAAAATGCCAACTCCAGGCCTTTGACTTGTAAACACCTGTCCTTTTAAAGCTTGTGTTCAATGTGTGTTATGAGTCAACCAGGAAACTCAGACTCTATCTATCACGACCTCCTGCCAGGCCAATGGTCCATTCTCTAGCACCCTGGCTCCTTTATACACTATGGGGATTATACCAAACTTTGTGTCATAATCCAAGGGTGTCACACTTCGGGATTTGTTCATATTAAACCCTCATCTTGGAATGATCATGTTGTGTTTTCTTCTAAGAAACATGCTTGTCATTTTATCTCTTCCCTCTCTGCTCCTCAACTTTCTCCCTTCATCTTACTTTCCTTTCATTTTTTTGTTTCATGCTTTCTGTTTCACAAGGGTGGTTTTTCCTTATAGTGCTGTGTTGAAAGTTGGACAGTATTGAAAAATGGATAGAATATAAGCATCATTCATTGTGGAGGCTTTGTATATAGTCTAATTCAATTAGAAGGACATTCCCTAGAGTTCTTTCCCCCTGGGATATCAGAACAGCATAGGCAAGAATATCTATCTATCTATCTATCTATCTATCTATCTATCTATCTATCTATCTATCTAAATTAATTTTTTAAGGTGTGTGTGTCTGCTTGTCTGTCTGTGTGCCATATGCATGAAGGTTGTAGAGGATGCCAGAAGAAGGTGTTCAGTTTCCTGGAACTGGAGTTACAAGTGGTTGTAAGCTGCCTGATGTGAGTGCTGAGAAGAGACCACTGATCCTTTGCAGAGCAGCAAGAACTTTTAACTGCTGAGCTATCTCCCCAGCCCCTAAAATGGCTATTTAATGTGAGATTTAGAAGAATGTGGAGCCAAGGCTGTTGTGCTATGTTGGAAAGATGGTGACATGTCTCAGATCCTGTGGTGGTTTACATATGCAATTACCTATCTGTTGGATCAAACCCTGCCACACTGAATAATCACTGGGTATCTTCTCGTTGATATGGTTTAGAGTGGTCCCCACAAGAGACAGGCCTTTCTAGCTCTTCAACTTCCTGCCTTTCTATGTGATTTTTGCTTTTATCACCTGTGCACTGGTCATAAAGTCTTTCTTGTGTAGTGATGTAGTGACATAGTTTTTATGGGAGTTGAGTAGACGTGGATGTCATATTGAGCCTCCAAAGCTTTGAGCTAAGTAATCCTTTCTAAAGTACTGGCCTTAGTGATTTTATTATAGCAGAGAAAAATGCATTGGTGTATCCTTTTATTTTGTTTTGTTTTGCTTTTGTATGTAAAATGTGAACCAAAAGAATCTTATGTTTTTAATTTTTACATTAATTTATTTGTATGTGTGCCTAGATATGTGTGCATGTAGGGAGATCAGAGGACTTCTTGTTGAAGTTGGTTCCTTTCATCATGTAGGTTCTTAAGATTTTCCTCAGGTTGTCAACCTTGGTGGTAAATGCCTTTACCAGCTGAACCATCTTGCCGGTGTTTTATTTTCCACTTTAATGTAATAATATTATGGACATATTCCCAGATCAATACAAATTTTCAAATATTTATGCTTGTATCATATGCCACATTGACTAATATTTAATATTTCTGAAATTACTAAAGTACATGGTATTTTACTAGCATATGCTCATATTACTCTAAAATGGGCTACTTAGCTTTTTAGTGATCTTGAACTTTTAAAATTGCTTCTCAGAAATGCATCACTAATATGCACTTATTTCAAACCACATGTCTATGATTGTTTTTTGCCTAATTTGGACCTATACTGTGCATTTTCAGTAATAAAATGAAATAATATTTCTTCACCACTTTTAACAACCAAAAGAATTATTTTTATTGTTAATTCCTTGAGGCCAGTATTTATATACTAATGCTATTGCATTTATTCTGTGACCTAGTAGTATCTTTGCTAATTATTTAGAGTAACTGGATAAATTAACTTCAGTTTGTTACAGTTTAAATTTTTGGCAAAACATCATATACTTTATAATGTATGTCAATATGCAAGTATGTGAAATTCTTTTCTATTACAAAACTTTTCTTGAAATTTTCCCAGAATATCACATCGTTAGGAGTGAAGTTTAGTAAAGGATCAGTTCAGCTTTTGTTTTTTGATAATGACCACAGATCCTAACTCATTTTGGGACCAAGGCCTTCCCTGGCACCCATTATCCCAGAGTGTGGCACATCCTTCTTTGTTCATTCATTTACTTCCCAACAGAGAGACATTCAAGGAAAGTGTTGAAGAGATGACTTATACCAAACCACCTTTAAGTTCCTCCTTGTGACAGCTTCCAGTGTCTGTCCTGGAGAGCCATGCACTATATCCTCACTCTCTCCTGGACCTTGGTTGATGCCCAGGAGCCTGAATCAGAAGCCAGCAGAGAGTTCATGCTCTCCTGTGGATGGAGTCATGGAACTGGCCCTTTCTGGATGGTCCACAAAATGTGAGGGTAGCCATTTTGCCAGGGGTACAGCCACGTGCCTTTGAAACAGCTGCCGGAGGTACTTCCGGAACCGCTCACCCACAAAGACATAAATGACTGGGTTGACACAGCAGTGGGTGTAGGCAATCACCTCAGTCACTTGCATGGCCAGGTCCAGCTGTTTACTCTGCTCACACTGATTGGTGAATAGAACATCTTGGAACGCAGAAACAAATACAGTCAGATTATAGGGTGTCCATAGGAGGAAGAAGAGAAGAGTGATAGCAAATATTAGACGTACTGCTTTGGCCTTCTTCTCACTGGGTCGTCTGAGCAGAATACTGATGATCCCCGTGTAGCAGATGGTCATCACTAACAGAGGCAAAATTAGGCCAAGGAGGTTCAGCTTCAGAGCCTGAAACCGTTTCCACTGCTTCAGGCTCTCATAGGGATAATGAGGACTGCAGGTATGGTGAGTGAACTCCCACTGGGCTTTGAAAAAGTATAAGCCAGGAATGGAGGCCAAGATGGCTAGGACCCAGGTAATGAAACTGGTGATGATACCAAAAGTGACAGTCCTGGCCCTCAGGGCGAACACTGCATGGACAATGGCAAGGTACCTGTCAATCGTCAGCAGGATGATAAAGAAGATCTCACTGTATAAGCCCAGGTAATAAAACCCAGAGAGCAGCTTACACATGGCGTCACCAAAAACCCAGTTGTCTCTCAGTTTGTAGTCAATCCAGAAAGGTAATGTGAAGAGGAAGACCAGATCAGAGATGGCCAGGTTGAACAGGTAGATGCTGGTCATGCTTCGAAGCCTCCTGTACTGCATGAGTACCAAAACCACCAGGATGTTGCCTATCACTCCAATGATGAACACCATGGAGTATAGGGGGGGTAGGAGTCCAGCCCCAAAGGCTCTTACAGCAGCCTTTTGGCATGGAGTGGAGTCCCCATAGTCAAATTCTGTGGTTGTATAGTAGTCTTCTGTAATAGCTGAAGTCTCCATCAGGAACTGATCAGGAATGAAGGCTTCTGTATTTACTTTTCTATTAAAGACAGAGGGTTCTGGGCAATGAAGACAAGACAATGGTTACATTTCTTTAAACGATAAACTTCTGATTGAAGCTTAATGATTACAAATCCTAGGGATGAAATGTAGGGCAAGGAGCTCTAGTACTTTCTACTCATGTGGACCTTATACTCTAAGAGGAGCACAGAACAATTGAGTGTGTAAATAATTCAATTATTTCAAGAGTGACTGTGTGAGAAGCTCAATGGATAAATCACAAAACAGGACCTTATCTCACTGTTGTAACTAAGGATTTCTAAGTGACTCCAAGAAGCTGAGTTAGTACTTAGTGTTCAACGCCTTTTAAGGGGCAAGTTGGTCCCATTTAGAAGTAGTAGAACAGGGGTATGCATTACCACAGGATACTACAGTAGCACAAGACGTTAGAAGTGATTACATAAAATTCCAGATTGACCTAAGTTCCTGAATGTGGCACAAGACACAGAACAAGAACTAAAGTAGAAAGCCATGAACGTGTTGTTGAACTCCAGCACGGAAATAATTTGATTCTCCTGCCTCTAATCACAGTGTTAGCTTCGCTAGTGGAGTCTCCATGAAAGCTCTGAGAAGGAGGATAGTCCTAGACAAGAACAAAACATTCATAGCTATGTAAAGTTATTATTATTCAAGAGACTAGAAGATGCTACTTTTAGTTGGTAATGTGATATTCCATTGTTCTTTAATGGAAAAAAATCCATTCTCCACCAATATCAGTACATCTGATCTGGCAAATTCCTACTAGAACAACCTACCACTTTATAGGTTGAGACTCAAGGTACCAGGCTGGTTGTTTCGCTTAGGCTGATCCATATCACATGGCCTTTGTGAGGTATAGGTAGCTTTACAGTTAACTCAGTAGACCTCTGTGAGTACCATGAGAAGGCTAGAGAGAGGCCATGACCTGTAGGCAGAAGTGAAAACTGAGCTCAGGGAGAAAGAGATGCCTGGATTCAAAGGTGATGCCTCATAGGAGCTAGATGGAAGATAGGATTCTGATGAAATGAGCCCTGCATTGTTGTTGTTGTTGTTGTTAAACCAGAATTTCCTTGAGATAAAAAACCCAATAGATAGCTTGCCACTGTAGAACTTCTTCCATACCATGTATGACTGTACACCTTCTGAATTCTTTCCAGTCAGCTTTTTTAACTACTGTCAACAAGGGGGAGTATGGGCTTTGTTGTAACATACTAGTTGTGTGTCCTTGGATGAATTAACCTGTTTCTTTGAGTCTAAGTTCCTAATATGGAATGGGGAGATTAATGAATGCATACCTTGCTATGTAGCCATGTGAAAAATGTCTTTTCATCCCCAGACAGTGAATATCAGGGACCTGGCTGTCATGCAGTGTTCCTGCTCTAAAGGCTGTCATTTCCAGACATTCTGACCACAATGTGCTCAACTATGTTTATAGCAACATTATTTGTAATAGCAAGAACCTAGAAGCAATTTAGATGACCCTCAACTGAATAATGGATAAAGAAGATGTGGCATATGTACATGATGGAATACCACTCTGCGGTGGGGGGGGGGGGAACCAAATGAATCTTAAATTCACAGGCAAGTGGATGGACCTTGACGAAACCATCCTGAATGAGGTAACCCATTCACAAAAAGTACTCACTCATATATGGATTTTAGGCATAGAGTAAAGGATCACCAGCCTATAATTCACACTGCCAGAGAAACTAGGATACAAGGAGGATTCTAAGAGAGTCATATAAAGTCCCTCAAAGAAGGGAAAAGGGATAAGATCTCCTGAGCTTATTGGGGGGGGGGGAAGCAGTGAGTGGAATGGAAGCTAGGAGAAAACAAATGGAGGAGAGGAAAGCCCATGGGAAGATTGAGTCGGGGAGGAATAGACAACAGGAGAGAGAGAGAGAGAGAGAGAGAGAGAGAGAGAGAGAGAGAGAGAGAGAGAGAGAGAGAGCATTATAGAGGGATCCATTATAGGTTTGAAGAGAAAACTGAACCTAGAGAAATATCCAGAGACCTACAAGACTGACCCAAACTAACAATCTGAGCAACAGTGAAAAGGCTACCTTAAATGCCCTTCCCTGATAATGAGATCAAGGACTAACTTATCCACCATCATAGAGCCCTCATCAAGTAGTTGATGGAAACAGAAGCAAACACCCACAACAAGACACTGAGCAGAACTGGAATCCAGAGCAGAGCAGGAGGACAAGACCAGGCTGCAGAAACACATAGAGACAGCTGACCTGAACCAGGAGGAGCTAATGAGCCCCCAGACTGAAAGCTGGGAATCCAGCATGGGACTGACTCAGACCCCCTGAACATGGGTCTCAGAAGACCTGGGCAGTCTAAGGGACCTCCGACAGTGGAACCAGGATGTATCCCTGGTACACAAAAGGACTTTGAGAGCACATTCCCCATGCAGGGATACTCTGTTAAGCTAGAGGCAGGAGGGAAGGTCTAGTCCCTACTCCAAATGACTTGACAGATTTAGATGACCCCTCTTTGAAGGCATCACCCAACATGTGTAGTTGGGGGGAGTGGGAGGGAAGGGTGGTCGGGGGCATGGGAGGGTGGGGGAGAGAAAAAGAGGGAGAGAGGGAAGGATGGAGGGTTGGAGGTATGGAGAGGGAACTGGGATGGATATGTTAAATAAAAATAAAAAAATCAAAATTAGTTCATTACCTTGTCACTTTTGCATTTACGATGATTTTTCCTCACTAATACATATTTTATTTCTGTCATTTCTTCATATACCATATTTTATTGGCCTTTATATGAACAAGTTTGACAAGGATATCTTTTAAAATCATTTTCCATAAAAAGCATTTCTTGTCTCTTTCTACTGCTTTGCTCTCTTAATCATCAGCAAAAAATTGTCAAGATTACTTTCTAGAAAAAGTTTTATACCTGAACTTCTAGCCTTAGGAATACATCCAACATATTCAGAATGTCTTGAGTATTAACTGCTTTACAGATGTAGCAATAGAGTACATAGGATCTATTTGGTTCTCAAAGCATTGCCCATTGCTGAGAATCCCTGAGTTGCAGTCATTCATGCCCTTAAAACTTCCCTTCATAGTAATTAGCAGCATAGGAAAGACAAGAACCACTTACTCTTCTTCCAGAGGATTTTGTCCGCACACTTTGTTTCTGGACTTTTGAGAATCTCTATCAATTCATGGTTCAAGGTCTTGAACAAGTAAGAAGATCTTAGCTTCCTGTGAAATGGTGGAGATTGGACTCTCTGGTTTTATAGTCTTTCAAAATGACAAGAAGGCTATAAAGTTCTTCTTTTTGTATGGTTGACTGCCTATGAAGCGCCACAATGCCCACCAGTGGCCAATTCTTGGGGTCCAAGTTCACTACAGGTATTTTCCATGTCTGCTATAGTTCCAGTAAGGTTCTAGTCTTCTCAGAAGGAGCTCTGCCCTACAAGGATTGTGTAGGTTGTGGTTGGGTGGAGTTGAGTTAGAGCATGTGAATGACAATGAGTTGTTCCCCAGGACTCATGGAGCAATTGAATGTGTAAGTGTGGGCGTGTAAATTGGGGGCTGGTCACAGAATTCTTGTGGTCAGTGAGGAGCCTTCTTTTAAGATTTCATTTAAAAAGGTTTAAAGCAGAACCCCATGTCTTGTTCCTCAAAATCATCCGGCTGATAAATGAGGAGCTAGAGAGGCACCCCCTTCTCCTTGGAGTTCTATACTGACATTATTTCTATTTGTACCCTAACTGCTCCCCATGCCTCTTCTCTGCTCTGCATACCTCTTTCCTGCCTCAAAATCTCTTCCCAAACAAACTTCAAAGGATGTTTTCCTCTCAAGCATATCTGGCATGAGAGTATATGATGTTTCCCTTCCTTTTTTTGACAGGTGTGGTGGTGCATGCATTTAATCTCAGCACTTGAGGCAGACGTAGGAGGATTTCTGTGATTTCCAGGCCAGCTTTGCCTACATAATGAGTTCTAGAACAGTCAGGACTACATAGAAAGACTGTTTAAAAAAAAAGAACAAAACAAAACAAAACAAAAACACCAACCAAACAGATCACACATTAAAACATTGGAAATGTTCAGGGTGGTATGACTGTAGACTCCCCTTCTTGAATATATATATATCCATCCAAACATGGTGGCAGGTGCAAAGCCTTTGGGTACAGATATAAACAGAGAATTCTCACAAGGGGAAACTGAAATGGCTGAAAAGCATTTAAAGGAATATTCAGCATTCTTAGCCATCATGGAAAGGCTAATCAAAACAACGAGATTTTTATCTTACACCCGTCAAAATGGTTAAGATCAATAAAATAAGAACTCAACACTGGTGAGGATGTAGAGTAACGGAAATAGTCATCTATTTCTGGTGGAAGTGCAAACTTGTATAGCCACTATTAAAATCAGTGTTCTGGTTTCTCAGAAAGCTGGGAATCAATATACCTCAAAATCCAGCTATACAACTTCTGGTAATGTACTTAAAGGACTCTTCATCATACTACAGAGATACTTGCTCAACTTTGTCCACTGCTGCTCTATTCATAATAGAAATAGAAACAACCTAGATGTCCATCAGCAGATGAATGAACAATAAAATGGGGTGCATTTACAACAATGGAGTATTAGTCATTAGAAAAACGGAATTTGCAGGTAAATGGATGAAGCTGGAAATAAATCATCATCCCGAGTGAAGTAACTGAGACCCAGAAGGACTAATATGGCATGTTTTCATTTATATGTGGGTGTTAGCTGTTAGGTCGTTGATAAGTACCACTGTCCTGAGGAGCAGCCTCCATCAACTCATGGGTGAGGGGGAGTCAACAGTCAGTGGACTATCACTCAACTTGACTTTTCTCTCTGAGGGAGTAAAACTTAATTCTCTGAGGCCTGTGAGGGGGCCTCACACACACACACACACACACACACACACACACACACACACACACACAGGGTCTTTCTCTGTTCTCTCTCCTGTTCTTTATTTCTTTTCCTACCTCTATCCAGATATATTCCTTCTGCTCTCTCTTGATGTCTTTCTTGTAACTAACTATTTTTTCCCTTATAACATATATCCCAGGAAATCTTTCAGGCAATATATATAAAAATTTCAATGTGGTTACATTCTGTTTTTCAAGTGAATTATTATAATGAATACAGGTAGAAAATGGTTTTCATATCCCTTAAATGATTAAACATTTTATGTCTTATAAGTAAAAAAAATAAGTTGTCATAAGAACCTACATGTCTAAGCAACTCATATTAGTTTTCCCACTAAGCTAACCTCTATTTATTAAAGACCCTCAATCCTGAAAGTCATATTTAAACTAACACCATCATTGTATAAAATCACTGCTTCAGTTAAACAGTACACCATAGGAGGAAATCATCTTCATAATAATCCACAGGTAAAAATGCCCAGTAGAACAGGATATTTCCATGAGATAATTGCATCACATTAAAGGTAGTGGGGATCTTCCCACACCCATTCACACCATACCAGATACCAGAGAAAATGACACTGGCAAGCATGTAAAGGCTCAGCAGAAGCAATAGACATTCTGGGGCTGATCCTCTTGGGGCTTTGCCTATCTGAGACTCAACCATCTGAGCTTCACTTCCTGGTAGGCTGACTTCCTGAACTTCAGCTGCCACTGACTGCTCCTCTGACACGGCCACTGGCTTATAAGATAGTAACAATCAATATAACTACAGAGGTTATGTATAGAGTAAGGGACTAGGGGAAGAGATGGATCTCCCTAGGAAGGGGAAATAGGATAGATAGTTGTGGATGGATAATGGCTGGGATAGAATGGGAGGATCAACTGTCGAGGGGGAGGCAAGAGGGGATAGGGGAAGGGCATCACAACCTAAGGGCCATTTGACGGGTCATATGGAAACCTAATACAGTAGAAGCTTCCTGAAGTATATACCCATGAAGTTGATCTAAATGAAGTTCTCAAAATAAAGGGAAAATAGAATCCTAGCTGGACATCTCTTGTCCCCAAATGAAGCTTCTAGTACCTGGGAAGGTTTCCACATAATTGAGTTGTTGGCCAAAGGGACTCCCAAACAATCCATACTATTGCCAAAGCTATTGGTTGCTTCCCACAAACTGGCCCTATTGCTGAAGATAACACCTATTAACAACTCATTGAACATGACTGGTGTCTACTAGAACCTTCACGCCTGTGGACTAATAATGTTCATAATACTGGAAGGAGAAAGGTAAAAACTAATGTTGTTACACACTCTTTGATCAGCATGGTGACTTGATACGCTACAAGGTACGCTGGTACAATAGTGGCACAAAGCTTGTGGGAGTAACCAACCAAGATCTGATTGGTGTAACCTATACCCAACACTGCTCTGAGAGCCCAAAACCTGACACTAGATAGGCCAGAGATGTAGGAGGAAATAAAATTCTACTGTTTCGCTAAAGCAACAGTTCTGAACACGTGGGTTGCAACTCTTTTGAGGTCAAATGACCCTTTCACATGGGATACATATCTGATATCCTGCATATCAGATATTTTCACTGTGATTCATAACAGTAGCAAAATTACAGTTAACGAAGTAGCTATGAAATAATTTTATAGTTGTGGATCAGCACAACTTGAAGAGCTGTATTAAAGGGTCATAGCATTAGGGATGTTGAGAACCACTGTACTGATGGAACGCAGCAATAAATGTCTTCTAATAACATGTAGCTATAGTCATAGATCAGTGCCTTGCTCAGCAGTCATCAGAGAAAACTCATCCTGCAGCCGGTGGTAACAAATACAAAGATCCATAGCCAGATAAAGTGCAGAAGGCAAAAGGTCTTGGAACACTCGGGCCTAAATGGAATGTTTTCATTAAGAGCCTCTCCTTGAGGATCAGGGAACTCTGTGGGAAAGGAAGCACAAAGGATATAAGAGCCAGAGGGGATGGAAGACCCCAAGTGAATAAGGGTTTCGAACCCCAGAATGACCAACACACATATGAACTTCCAGATACTGTGGTATAAGGCTTCCACAGATCCTCAGCAGATGGGGTCCTAGAGGCAAAAGGAGAAATGGACAAATGACTCAGTTCCTAACCCAGAAGCCATCTCGGACTGATAATCACTTGGAAATGGAAATTTAGTTTTCTCTAAAGGAGTCTCACAGGGAAAACAAACCCTTAAGGTTAGCCCCCATGTTCAAACTCAGAATAACCTCTGGCCTCTTTGGGGGGTTCTTTGTCTTACAATGTTATGCCAGGGCATTTATTTAATCATTTATTCACCTTGTAGGCCCTTTGCATGTTCTTGTGTTTTTATGGGATTCCTATATGTGTAACATGTGTGTCTCTCTATGTCTCTTGTGCTTTTTCTTTGGCTCGTTTTCTTCTGTTCATCTGTTTTGTTCTGTTCTGGCTTGTTTGTTTTGTTTTGTTTTTTGATCTTAGTTCACTTTATTATTATTCCTTAGATGCTTATTTGTTTTCTAATGAGGGACATAAAGAGTGTGGATCTGATTAAGAGGGGAAGTGGGGAGGAAGAATTTGTGTAGGAGAAACTGTAATCAGAATACAGTATATGGAAAAAAATCTATTTTCAGTAAAATGAATAAAACCAGAACACGCACAGCAGCCATCGCTTTTCTCATTGTTTTGTGTGTCTGTGAAGTGGGAATTCTCCTAACCTTCCTCATTGCAAAGCTACATTTTAGAGAGTATAAATGACAGCATGCTTTGAAAATGTCCACTATCCAGTGAGGTCATAATTCCACACTAGGTTACGTAGGCTGAGGATTTTTTTTCCCCCAGAGACTTTTATTCGGATGAAACTGAGATTTAAATAACTTACAGACAAATTTATACCAACTTTAAAAGTATTTAGCCTTGAATGATGTCATTTTATATACTTGACTGGAGTTACTACATTTTGAGCATAAATACCAAGTAAGAATGACCCCACATGTTTATGTAAGTAAACAATCGCTATTTGCCAGCATACCAGGAGGCACAAACATTATTCATTTATATCAATAAATAATGACTCTTGAGAACATACCACATCATATCAAAAACACCAGACACAGTAGATGGGATCCCCTTACCTTGAATAATAAAAGAAGAAACACCCTAAGAGTAATATGTGGCAAGCATGCTAATTATCTAGTCAATTGTCTTGAGCCTGTTCCAAGAAAATTGCCACAGTGAAGAACCCAACTTAATTCTTGGTTCCAACTTAAGTTTAGTAATAAGCCCACTCTATCAGTGTAGTGAGATATTCGCTCTGCCAGCACCTGTTGCACTGACCACGCCCATTGGAGGGTGGGATCAGGTGCGGATGTGACTAGGTCTGAGGTAGGGACCCCGGAGCACTTTCTTGCTGACAGAGAGCATCCGGAGGAATCCTTGGGACCGGAACCTGCTGGTGTTCATCTGTCTCTGTTGTAAGTTATTTCTCCCTGAATAAACATCTATTC